ATATATATATATATATATATATATAGCAGCTACCCAATTTAACTTCCCAGCAGGAACTCTAATTCTTCGTGTATAAATATATACTGTTAGCAAGCATCCCTTTTGTTTTTCTCTTCCCAGGCCACTGTCTTTTTTGACTTGCTAAAGCAATCCAATTTCTCTTTTCTCCTCTCACAGTTGGCATGTGTGTGTATATATAAATTCCCCAGTAGCTGCCGTTTCTTCTATGTATGTCTGATTTTTTTCCCGTTTTTGGTGCGTGCATTGTATATTAATTCAGCCCCAAGCTTGCCGTCTTTTTTATGGTTCTCTCTCACTCTTTCTTTCCTCAATGTTGGCGTCTCTATCCTCCCAAATTCAGCAGTCGCAAACTCCAATGTGTCTCTATATATTTTCTTCCAACGACCCTCTTTTATGTAAATATAATCAAGGGAAAAATTCATATACCATGTATTAACTATGCACAATTCAAAAACCATGTTTCAAGTTTAACTAATGCAAAAATCAGGTTTTTATCTAATTAATTAAAAATATTTATTAATTAAATATAATAAAATCATAATTACAATTAATGATCACGCGCACATAATTATAGGTCACAGATTTGTTCACAGGTCACATATCATCAAATTAATTGGTCACAAATTATTTCGAGGTCACGAATTAAAACTTTCATAGGTCACAAATTATTTCGTGATCACGGATCACAATTTATCTATCAATTTTATAGGATACAGTTTATGTGATTGGTCAGAAATCTAAAAAATTACAGGTCACAGGTCACATATTTTCAAATTTGTTGGTCACAGATTACTTTTTTAGTCTCAAAAATAATCAAATTTTAAGTCACTAATTAATAATCAGTCACCGGGGAACCAAATAATTGGTTACATACATCAAACACCCAATCCCGATCCACCATAGCACTTGGTCACAAACACTACCCACCGCCAACGCCAACTCCACGACATAACCAATATCACCAACAAATCACCGCCACTAACAACCACCTCCACCGTCGCCAGAATCCGCCACAATCGTCACCACCAAACACACCAACGATGCCCAACACACAACCTGACCACCGTCTCCACCACCCAAAACCACCACAGCCACCAGGACGATAACCACTACCAAACACCCAACTATACACCATTCCCATCCTCACCAACACCACCCAAATCCCTACTGCCAACAGAAGCATTGTCGCTATCATCACCACCACCGCCATCCTACCTAGATCCACTGCACCAGACTCACCACCACAACACACCATACTACCACCACACCACACCGTTCACAGCAGTGTCGGCCGGCAAAAGCTGAACAAAGAAGAACCGACGTTCACACCTCGTCGTCGTCGCCATCATGAGTAGAGGAGAAGCGGAGCTCACATTCCCAGACAAATGAACGACGCCGACACAACCACAATCGTCGCGATCTTTTTTACAAACTACACCACTGATTTGCGTGCAATAGCGTCGGCGATGGAGTTGTGCAAATGGTGGCTGCACCTCCGATGCCGTGCCACAACGCCTAAGGTGCCATGTCGCCAGAGAGGAGAAACTATTTCAAAGAGATGGGAAATGTCGAAATGAGAGTGAGTCAGAAAGGGAGAAATGAATTTAGGGCTGGGAGTGGGCTAATTATAAGATTATCATTAATATTAAAATATATAATTAAAACCTGATTTATGCTTAATTAAACTTATACCTTAATTTTTAAAAGTGATCTTCAAAGTCCTGCGGTTGTGTAATTTTCACTATAATCAATCCCAGCCACCTTTCAATTGGAGTCCAATTCCAGCCTTGTTTCTACAATTATGAGGACCAATTGTCTTTTTCACTTTCCATTAATTTGAAGCCCAATTAGATACAATTTATCTTCTAAGGCCTCACTTCATTATAATCAATGCAACTTAGTCCTTCAATTTCTGGCATGTGGAGTTTGATTCCAAAATTGCATTTTTATCTAATTTTCATCCTTCTTTTCTCTCCAATTACTTCCAACGGGCTCATCACTAAAAAAAAGAAAATCAAACCAAGTTAAAGTATAAATTAATAATTTGACAACATAATAATTTAAATGCACAAATTGCACTTATCATTGGGATTAGCCTTAAGGCACCTTTTCAGTGAGTGACCTACAATCTTACAATGAGTCCAAAAATACTTGGCAGTTCAGTTAGTTGTATATGAGTCTCGTTTCGAGCTCCTCAAGCCATCGTTGCCACAATTCACCGACTGGAGAGTCCATTGAAATCTGTCTCATCTTTTCTTCTCATTACATAGTGAATATAGTTTGTTAAGTCCAGGAAAAGGGCTTAATGAGGAGAATTTGAGCTTTAATATCCTTATAAGATTCACTAAGACCCATAAGATTCATATAACCCGATCTCTTTGCTGATTATTAATTACAGTACGAAGCCTCCACAGGTACAGTTATATATGGATTCATAATTCATTAATTCATCAAGGAGAGTTTTATATTTTGAAAAATAAACACTTACAACGTCTTGATTTTTCAGTAAGGTGATGATGGCTTGCTTTACCTCATAAACTAGTGGGGACATTCTACCAAGCTAATCAATGATCAAGTTCTAGCCAAAGCTCTCTAGCAGTATTTGCATATAGAGTACAAGATTTTACTTCAACAAACATGGTGTTATGTAGGCAGGCAATCATGAGATCATTACAAAGAAGCTAGTGCTCTATCAAAAAACTGTTGGGGTCTATTGGTTCTAGCAAGCTCCCATCAACAAACCCAAGTTTGTTTTAGTTCCGAGGGCCCTCTTTATGGACCTTGCCCTGGCATAGTAATTGGTATTTTTGCAATACGTTAGTGATTAGTATTGTACTATAATTGTCATTCCTGATGATGTGGTATGGACTGTGGAGATGGAAAGGATCATTAGAGTTTGGAGCAGAGTAAGTGTTTGAATTTGTGTGTGGGATGGTATTTTGGTTTTGCTAAGAATTTGGATTGAGACTTTGATGTATAGTAGATTGAGAATTTGGATTGAGATCTTCATGTGTAGCAGATTGAATATATGCGCTATGACCTTCAGCCATTGTTAATGCTCCGAAACCATATTACAAATTGAAACTTCACATTCTAGAATGCTTGTTAGTGCTGAGGTTGTTGACATGGTTTGTCCAAGTGACAATTCCATTTCTCTTCGTTCTTCAACAAGCTAAACCTACTCGACTCGTGAATCCCACGAATCAGCTTGTTTTGAGCTTGGGTAGATGAGCTCAAAAAGTAGCTCGTTTGAGCTCGGGGTTGGTTCCTTTTTCCCTTTTGCTAATTTTTGAATTGTTTTTGCTATTTTTTTTTTTTTTTTAAAGAATGGCTTCATTTTGGAATTATTTTATTAATTTATTTTCAAAAATAAAAAGATAAGTTGGTTCGTGGGTTGCTCGACTCATTTGGATTCTTGGGGTTCACGAGTCAAAGGGCCAAGTCAATAACAGGATTTGGACACGAGTTGAGCTCGAATGTCTACGGACGAGCTGGCTCAACCTTGGCCCATTGCAACCGGCGGCAGGGTTGGGCATTCGCTATCCCACAGAACGGGTTAAAATGGACCAAGCTATTTTGAGGGCTCGCTCAATGCTCCGCAGGAAATACAAAAATCTGCAAGGGCTATATTAGTCATTTCACCGAACCGCGCAGCCCTTCTGCAAAGAGAGATTCAAATCTTCCCCCTATCTCTCTCTCTCCCTGGCTCTCTCCCTCCATACACACACTCTCTCTAAAAATTCGTTTCTTCAAGAAAATTTCCAACTATTGAATCATATCCAGAGAATTACTTTCTTTCTTGATGGGTCTTCTCAATTATTGAATCAAATGCAGACGAAAAAACATTTCAAGAAAGTCAGCGAATAAAATATAGATACACTGATATGTATGTATTGCTAGAGAGGGAAAGAGCAAGATTTTGAGAGAATAATTCGAATTTGCATATTGATGGAGAAGGAGACAAAGATTCTAGAGATCAACTTGATCTCTGCACAGGGTTTAAAGACGGTATCTACTAACCTACGCCGGATGAAGGCCTACGCCATCGCCTGGGTCGACCCGTCCGCCAAGCTTCGAACGCGAGTAGACCGACTCGGTGGCGAAAACCCTACCTGGAACGACAAATTCCTTTTCCGAGTATCAGAAGACTTCATCTCCGGCGAGACCTCTGCCGTGTCAGTCGAAATCTTTGCCGTCGGTTACCTAAGGGACTTCCTCATCGGCACCGTCCGGTTTCTTCTCAGTACCTGCATTTGTGCCGCTGAGACATTCACCGGAACCCCTGCCTTCACCGCTGTACAGATTCGCCGCCCTTCTGGCAGCTTCCATGGCGTCCTCAACATTGCTGCCGCGGTTTATGATTCGTCTGACTTCGCAATCCTGAAGAAAACCCCTGCTATTAGTTTTCGCGATATGATGGGGAAGGAAAAGCGTGAGCAGAAGCCGCGCCGGAGCAAAATCAGCCGCGATGGATCCAAGCGGAGTGAGCAGTCATCTGGGGGCGAATCTTGCGATCTCTCCTCGTTGGATCTATCTGACGGCACCGACTCGACTGCGTCATCATCATCGGCTGCTTCGACGGCGCTGAAGGAGTGGAATTGTGTCAGAGAGATCGCCGGAAAGAAGAAGGGCTCGGACTGCGGAGGAGGGTTGCTCTGTGGGCTGATGATGCAAAGGAAGATTCCATTCTGTCCGTCGGATCAGAATCTCCAGTTCTGGGCAGATGCGTTGGAAGAGAATTGATGATTAACGGTCCAGATTCAGCTTCAATTCCCCACAGTAAGTAGTATATGAATGTTGGAGATCACTTCATGTGATAATGGATAATTGTGGTTAAAGTTTGAAAATCAGATAGCCGTTAGCTGTAGTTAGCACTAGGTAAAGAATCTCGTTCTTCTGAACAATTTGCAAATGATTACAAGATCATACTTTTGTACTTTTGATTTTTTTTTTTTTTGTTCGACCTTTTGGAATTGAAAAAAGAAATAAAGCTTTGTATTCATGATGGTATACTCCAATCTTTCACATGCCAGTATATATCAAGGAGTCTAGCATTGTAGATTTTTTGCTTTTGATTTTGTTGTATAAATTTCTTCAATGGTGCTACGCGTAAAGAAGCTGTTTCACAAAACTTTTTCAGATGACGTTTCAAACTTGTTTTAGATGAATAAAATAAGAATAAATTACTAAAATATCGAATGATTCTCTAAAAATCCACGTGAATGTTGACTAAAAAGAATACAAACCCTACACTATTCCCAATTTTTCCAATCCATTCCTCCTCCCATGTAACCTTGTCCTTCTGAAACCTTTAATTAGTGTAGATGTCGTCGGTGTTGTCGTCCCGAACTCCGGCTACCGTGAATTCGTCAAACAACAAATAACTCAACATCTTCACCTTTGTCACATAATCGAGTGCCCAAACTGCAACAAAGTTGTCGATTTCAAGACGGTGTCGTTGTCTCCTATGCAGAGCCGGTCCTGTGTTTGAGAGGCCCTGAGGCGAATGATGAAAATTAGGCCCCCTATCGACAAAATTCAAAGGTGTACTATGCGACTCATTGCTAACTTAAAAAACTAACATTAAAACAACAACGAAATATATTATAAAAACGATTATATTATAAACCATCAAACCAAAAATTTCAAACAATTAATTAAATACTATTCGTCTTACTGTTTTAAAGGCAAAAACATCAATCAAATCTGAACAACTTTGCTGCTTAACCATTTCTTTTTCTATTGATAACATAGTCAACCCGTTTAATCTTTCTTGTGACATAGTTGATCGGAGATAAGTCTTGATCAACTTCAATTTCGAGAAACTTCTTTCCGCAGATGCAACTGTAATCGGTACGGTTAACAAAATTTTGTAAGCAATATAAGCATTTGGGAAACAAACATCCAATGTCTTCAAATAGTGTAGCACTTCAATTGCTCTTATTGCTTCATTTGGTAAATAAATCTTCAAGACTTGTAATTCCGAACATAAATCATCTCCACTGAAGTTCGAAAGCCCATCATGTTCAAGATATTTCTCAAGATTCATACAAGAGTTCAACAAACTTGATAAAGTTGCACTCCTTAACCTCTTCAAATTAAACAAAAATCCAAATATATCATCACATTGTTTGAATTGTTCAAATCGAGTTCTCAGAGAAGATAGAGCTTGATCAATTATAAAAACAAAGTACTCAACTCTAAATGATTCTTCTGCTGATTGCTTTACCTCATTACTATAATTTTCATCAAATTGTTTTTTTCTTCAAATTATGCGTTTTTTTGTGAATACAGTTTCAATTCCCATTTCATTTGCCTTCTTTGTCACTTCATCCTTGGTAATGGCAAATCCAATTTCTCTATAATCTTCAAGAAATGAAACAAGTCCTTGCAATAGGTCGATAGCATGATCAATGTCCATGGATTCAGTTTGAAGAAATTTACTCACAATATTGACTGCATGCAACAACCTGTACCAGATTATCATGCCAAGCAAGAACTCAAAATTCTGAAGTTCATGTGTTGCCAACGACTCAGCTTCTCTCTTTATTTTAGGATCTTCGTTAGTTTCAGCCAAATCAAGTAATGCTTCTCTTATCTGTGCAGTTTGCTCCATTATAGGCTTCACACTCTCAACATGACTTTCCTAACGTGTTTGTGACAACGGCTTCACTGTCAACATTTTTACATTATCTTTAAAAATTTGCCATCGCTTGGTAGTAGATGAAAACAAAGTGTAGATGCGATGTATCACTCCAAAGAAGGATACAACTTTGGAACAACAATTCACCATATCACATAACGCTAGATTTAGACTATGAGCGCCACATGGAGTATAGAAAGCTCGGGGATTCATTTCAAGTACTCTTCTTTGCACACCTTTGTACTTCCCGCTCATGTTCCGTTATCTTACCCTTGCCCTCTAATGTCATCAATATCCAGATCGAGTTTGATCAAAGCCTTTTGAAGCTCGGTTGTCAGTCCAAGTCCTGTTGTGTCATCTACCTTCGAAAATTCAAGCCAATGTTCTTCAACTGTAGGTAAGTTTGCTGAATCATCTACAAATCGTACTATTAACGACATTTGCTCCTCATGACTTGCATCTGGAGTACAATCAAGTATAACTGCAAAATATTTTGCATGTTTAACTTTCTTGACAATTGCATTTTTCACCTCATTAGCTAACAACTGTATCAACTCATTTTGAATTTTTTTGCCAAGATACGTGTATGGAATCTCTTTTGCATTAGCCCGCCGAAGGTGCTCTTTCATTATTGGATCAAATTCACTAACCATTTCCACCATTTGTAAAAACAGACCATTGTTCTGAACATTTATCCTCTCATCATCTCCTCAAAATGACAAGGTGTTTTTGGCGAGTCTTTTTACAATAGCGATTATCCTTGTTAATACATGCATCCAATGCCTACAATAGCGATCAACAATTCAACGCTTTTATCAATTATAGTTTTTGTTCGAAGCCTATTTTCCAATTCAATCCAACTAGTCATGCAACATAAATGCTCTTCATTTCCTTTATGACTTTTAATAGATCGATGCAAATTATGCCAATTTTTGAATCCATCATTACCAAGTTGGCCAACTCTGGTAACATTTTTGGCTGTTTTAAACAACTTACAACAAAAGCAAAAGATCATGTCCATAGATATTGAATAGACTAGCCATCTTCTATCAATTGTTTGCCCATTTCGTAGCAATCGCTTATATTGTGAAGAATCAAAATGCCTATTTGTACAATCTTTCGGAAACGAGATGTCATCAACTCTTTTTGGACCCCTTTCAACTAAGTAATCCCTTGTTCTCTGATCAATAATTTTTCAATTCCTGGGATCATCCAAATTTAGAGAAGAGCAACCCTCTTCTTCCTTGTCATCTACTTCATTAACACATGCATGTTTCATCACCTCTTCTTCCTTATCATCTACTACAACGTAGGCAGGTTGACTCACTTCTTCATCCTTATCATCTACTTCATTAACACATGCAGGTTGAATCTCTACTTCATCCTCATTCAACGTATTCATATTGTTGCTTTTAAAGTACTTGTCAATATCCCCTGCTTGACTTTGAATTAATGAAATCTCATTTCGTTTCCTTTTTCTCTTTTGAGCACCAGACTCATATTTAGGAGGCATGGTGTATAAGTCTATATCTGATGCTCAATGATTAACCTAAAAGACAATTACAAAATATCTCAAATCATCACACAGTTAGAGTTTTCAATATAGTTATTATGTGCGCCTGTGCAATTGTTGATCCTCTAATAGTCAATCATATAAGCCGACCAGGCCACAATTATATAAGCCAACAAGGCTTCAAACATTTTCAATTTCTTCAATAACAAGTTAAGGCAAGCCATTGCTTACCCGACAAGTAGAATTTTGACGAAAACTTTGGAGTTACACCTTCAAGAATTCCACTATCACAAGCTCACAACTCCCGAACCTGAAACATTAATTTCACATCAAACGCACCCCTAAGTAAGATAAATACATTAATAAGGAAGGATGAGGATGAGAGAGTGCAGGAAAGAAGGGAGGATGAGAAATAAGACACTGAGATATAGATGCTCATCCGAGTTTGGACAGTTCAATTTATAATTGGAAAGAACCCAAAAATATATTGTAAGACAATGAAGATAATAATCCTAGATGCATCTCAGAAAAGATGACATGAAAAATATTATCTACTCAACGTTGATCATTTTGTCCTAGACAAATTTTTACGAGAAATAGCCACAGATTGTCAAATTTAACTTGTAGAGAAATAACATTTCCAATTACCCATTGTGCTTTAATACTTTAATGTGAAATCCGATTATATACTTTGTCAAACAATCGGATGAGCATCTAAAAGCTTGAACGATTGAAAGGATTATATATTTAAAAAATACTTTGTCAAACAATCGCATCTAAAAGCTTGAACGATTGAAAGGATTATATATTTAAAAAATATCTTCAACAAATTTTAAGGATGACACTCTTGATCTATCAAATTGCTTATGGTAAATGTTCCCCAAACCAACACTTGAAATATAAAATTAAATAGGTACGTGAAATACAATTTACAATTGCTTAAAGCTAGTATATTTGAATCAAACTCTGGACGACTAGTATCGAAATGTATAAGTTATGGACGATGTTCATTCACATCACTAAATAGATTAATGTACTGATATTGTATCAAATAGGAAAAATTGGCAATTGCCAAAGTTTTTGATGTTAGATTTTGATAAATATCAAAACGTTGTAGAATTTGCATATATCAAGCCATTATTAAAAAAGAAGTTAATCTTTAAAGAAAATTTTGTCAAATAAACTATATGGAATGTGGCCAAATAAAATGGTTTTAAAAGATAACAATGCCATATATCCATAATTACTCCCAACCAAATAAACATTATTTCTTTCGTGTACATAATAAAGTCATTTATTTTGGCAGTAAATTGAGAAATACATTGACTAACAAAATGACATATTTTTTTCTCAAACTTATAAGTAGATTTTTGAAGTTTGTCTAACATCGTCTTAGTTTCACACAAGTGTCTAAATGGACCAGGGGAGTATCTAGATACTTTCAAAACTATTTAAAGTAATATTTTTCACTTGTGTGAGCTTCCTGATTTATTCTTGTAAAGGGCATCCAACGTCAAAATTTTATTCTAAGCAAGTTATGTTCTTTAATACTTTCGTTCCATTCTTTACTCATTGTGCTTTCATGTG